AAATTTTTAGGAATGTTTGTTGATTTTTTTTAATATTGCACAAAGTTTGATATACTTATATTTTTACGGTTTTTGCTAAAGAATAAACTATATTTAAAAAAATAACTATAATTAAATATCAAAAAAAAATTGTGTGGTACGCTTACAATTCTGACACGGGGTGTATAACGGATGGTATTCTACTTTGCATCTTTTTATTTATTTGGGGTATTCACAACGGTGTCGTAAGTGTCGTATTGTTGTGTGTCCTAAACTTTAAACGCATAAAAAATATATTAAGGAGGTTCGCAAAGTACCATCAAAGCCATATTATGCATTTTCGGAGTGTTAAAAAATATTTGGTTGTGGTTGCAAGTTCTCTTAACATTTAAGCTTTTAAAGGCTACGAAATAAAACAATAGGATACTTACGACACCGCTGTGAATCCCTCAATTGTTTCCCTTCGTTTTTAGTTTTCTTGATTGTTTCCGCAAGTTTCCACAATTTAACAAGAAATGTATTTTTAAATAAATCAGTCAGTTTTTACAACTAATGTAAATGGTTATATCAATTTTCCATTTTAATCGAAACGACTGATTAATCGGTAAATTTCTTACGATTAATTGCAATTATTAATCGAATGCTTTGGATTAATCAATTAACCGAATAATCTATTATTAAATTTTGTTTCCATCACTAGTTCTGGTATGCGACTATGTGTTTAAAAAAATACAAATTTGTACACACATTCATGTGATATCATAGCTAAGGTTTGCGCACGATGAAATTATTGTACCCATTTTTACCTCTAAAACTTTTCAAATGCAAAATTTTATTCTTAATTTCCGATCAAGATACTTCTGATAAATGTACAAAAATTTGCATGCAAAGTTTTAAGGCCATATGCCATATGATAAGTTTTGGTTTCGAAATGAGTAAATAAATAAAAGTACGTGCAGAAATTGTTTAATTTTTTAAGGAAATTCCAAATCGGACTTTCGAAACCATCGCTAAAAAGCAAAGGTGTCAAGAAAGACCGTTTCGCGAGTTATTAAAATCTATGGCTAACGTCTAGCTATTAATAGGAAAAAAGGAACTGGCAAATCAAAGGCTTTCAAACCCCCGAATGGAGCCAGGAAGATTGTAGCACTTTTTAAGAAAAATCCAAATATATCGGGAAGAAAAATGACTAAAAAAGTACAACTCAATCAGTCTTTCTAAAGAAAAGTTAAAAAGGAAGAAGGGCTAAGGTCACACAAGGTCCAGAAAGTTATAAATAGAAAATAAAAAAAAACCTCGAACAAAGGAATCAGTCAAAGGACTTCACCGTAATTTCATACATAATTTTGATTGCTGCATTATGGACGATGTACTTGGTGACTTTTCGCAGCGATTTTTATGTCGTAAACCGTAGAGACAATGTCCAAGAAGAGTACAAACCCAAAAAAAAAGACAAAGTTTCTTACGAAATTTTTGGTATGGTAGACAATAAGTAGTTGTGGTATACGTTTGTTACAACTGGGACTATTAAAGCGGAACTACATATGTAGGATTGCCTGAAAAAAACGACTTTTACCATTTAACGACAGCATGAAATCTCCAATTTTTGTTTTGGCTTGATTTGGTTTCATGCCATTACAGCAAATCAGCAATTGAATGGATTGCAAACAAGTAATTCTTAAGCAAAAAACAAAACCGACTTCAATTCTCATCTACAAATTTAAGATTATCGTTAATTTCTTCACGATCCACAATACAATCCAAGATCCAATCCGATCTAAAAAAAATTAGTATGGGACCACCCTTGAGATACCACCTAAACTTTTTCAAAAAAAACCAATTTTTCCAACAAAAAAAAATGTTTTTTTCCAACAAAAAAATAACTGAATACACCATAAAATCCAAATTTTAGGTATTTCGGAAAAAGTAAAATTTTTTATAAAAAACCACTAATTTCTGTTAGTAAAATGTGTTTTGGTTTTTAATTCATCAAGTGCTTTAAAAGTAATTGGTGTTGTTTTGTTCACTAATTTCTTCGTACGCAAACCTTAGTATATTCATTTATGTATGTATATGGTCAAAATGACATATGCGCTTACTAGACAAATTATTTTAAGATTTTTTCACTTATGGAAAATTATCAAAATCATTAATTCTCATATATGTCTACTAGAAAAAGTTGTCTTACGTTTTGGGACGTTTGAGCAGCAACGAAGAAAATAAATAATCACATATGGGTGTTTCCATAAAAATGTAAACCGAAAATGCAAGTAAATGAGTTCAAACGGCTTTATAACTTAAAACTTCGTATTCACGCGAAACGGTGAAAAGATTAACTAAAAAAATAAAATAAAAAACTAGATTATATATGTAATAATATAATAGATTGGCGCTTACACATATGTTAGTGTTTGGCCGAGCTTCTGCTCCGATTTGTGGCGTGCGCCTTGATGTTGTCACACAAAAAGTTTTACGCCGACTCCGAACGGCGATTGTATTTTAATGAGAAGCTGTTTTTCATGGCAGAAATACACTCGGAGGTTTGCCATTGTTGTGCGAATGTCATGCCATCACTCATATATCGAATGAGCAGAATTTTTATTATCTCAAACATGTTTGCTAAAAAATATTATAGCAAAAACTAAAACGTTCATATATGGCTGGGCCAATATTGTAAGGGGGAAAATAAAAGGCATTTGATCGTACTGTAATAGTAATATTATGTAGTCTTAGGTCTAAGCCAATAATAATAGGCCACAAAATATTAATTTAAAACATATCATTAGCCCGCGCAATTGATTCCATGTTTATAAATTTGGAAAATTTAACTTTGGCTGGTAATATCTAAGGAATGCGTTAATTGTTATAAACTAGACGATCTATCAGGTGAAAGGTTATTAAATTTAGTATCTCACGTTCATATATCATTTTTCAATAAGACTACAAGTTTTCGAGATATTTAGAAAAACTTACAATATCGATGACTTTCGCGTATGAGTTTTCAATTCTTCGTTACTTTAGTAACCAAGTGAAAATGAAAAAATTTGACGAGATTTATTTCAAAGATTTTTAGGTTTTCGGATGTTAATATAATCACCCTTATCATGAGTTTCATTTTCCCCGAACCGGTTCACTTTTCACATTTGGTTTCCATGTATTTACTATGAGCGGATGACAAATTTTCGGGTGAATAAGGATAAGGCAGAATATATAAAGGACTATGGAGTTGGTCACGCCAATTTGGTCAGTTTTCAAAATAGTGGTCAATGAAATTAAATATGGATGTACTAGATTAGGAATCATTTGATTAGTAAATAGTAGTTTGAAACACCTACATATGTAAGTACATACATATATTAACTAAATAAAATTTAGGTGAGCAACGCCCAATTTAAGTCCATTTGTGTAATTAAGTCCGTTAACGTAATTGAAAATTGGAGCGAAAGGGTTTCATTAGTCACCAAAGAAGCACATTTTTCGCAGTTTCTAAATTTACCGTTATAAGAAAGTGGGGCGTGCAATAAGTATTTAGATATAAGTAAATATTTTAGTTAATTCCATTATGTCAAAGAGTGACCGTAGGTAAATGAACTATCCTCTTGGGACTCTCCAATTGAATATATAGCTTTGTATTCAACTTGAACGAAACAAGTCAATCCACGGCACACTTTTCCTTAATCGCTTGCTTATATTTCGAAGCTATTTATACAATTTAAGAGAAATTTTTGTCGAAAAAAGACAGAGATAATAATATGTTAAAAAGCGTTCAGATTAAAACAAAATTATTTAAAAAGAAAAAATATTGAACAAAAATTCCTGTGAACTGCATTTAATTACAATTTTGTATTGTATGCATAATAATAAGTAAACTAGTTAGTGTATGTGCAATTTGCGCTAGTTCATTCATTAGCATAAATGACATTTTTTCCGCGGTGATAAAAAAAAAGATTTTTGTATTATAGCGCCCGAAGTTGTTCCCAAATTTTCAAAAATTCGCACAGTGTAGCTAATATGAACAACAGGGCTCGAATCGTAATAGTCGCGAACGAGCAACTCGTCATGTAAAAATGCCTATTTCGGATTATAACAGTCGTGAACGTACTGCTCGTCTCGTATACCGAATTACGAGACGAGCAGTACATTCACGACTATTATAATCCGAAATATAAATTTTTGTGTGACGACTTGCTCGTTCACGGCTGTTACGATTCGGGCCTTGATTAGTATATTTGGAACCAGCGACCTAAACACACCCCAGAAATATGAATGCTTTTCTCTACATCTTTTGACTTAAGACCAGTGCAATTATCAACAATTACAATTTGGTTGAAAAACAGATAAGTTTGAGAGTAACCATACATTTAAGGGCTGTCAGAGATGATAGTTGACTTTGTCGTTTGCGTTTACAGATTCATTATCTAATAATATCCACCAAACCGTTTTGCTTAACCCTGAATTTTTAACAAGGATCCGTCTTTTTCGGCCAGTGTTCTTTGTGTCACTTGAGGGTCGATGCGCGGGCTCTTGCAATTAAAATAAACGATTAATATTTTACAGGCTTGTGTTGACGACATGATACAATATATTTTCACTATTACGAAAAGATTTGAGAAAAACTATTTTTTTTCTACCCGCCCGCGGGCTCTTGCAATTAAAATAAACGATTAATATTTTACAGGCTTGTGTTGACCACATGATACAATATATTTTCACTATTACGAAAAGATTTGAGAAAAACTATTTTTTTTTCTACCCACCCTAATGTACATACATGACTGAGCAGTGAGTGTTCATTTCGGTACTCTGATATGTACCAACTAAAATTATTCATAGTATGAGGGTGACACACTTGTAGTACGCATCATAGTGTTGATACCACATGGTAAAAAAGAACTAGGCTCAAATAGAAGATCGAAACATTAATTTAGATATTTACTTTTTCACTTATTTATACATTTTTACTTTGCTTAAGATCTCAAGTGAAAGTAATATGCAGTTTAAATTTTGAGCGATGTTTACAGATTCACGCATAAAGATTACAAATAATCCGATTAACCTTGTGAAAAATTCCGTTACATCGTTTGATGGTCATCCACGAAATGCAACTAGGCAGCAACTTAAAATAACCAGGTAATTTTTCCCTAAGTATGTTTATATTCTAATAATTTCCAGCAATTTTATTAATTTACGATGTTTAATTCTTAGGCCGGAGTGCCATGATAGCAACTGCTGCATTAAGACGATCGAATATAGGCCGCCCGTTCCTCCACATCGTAATATAGGCGTAAGAGCTTTCGTAAGTTTTGTAAGTATGCCAAGTACGTTTTGAATTTTTCAAATAGCTATTTTGCCAAAGCACTTTTTGAATAAGTTTATGCAGTTCATCAAAGCAAAAGATAGTTTCTAAATACTTAAAAACTAAAGGTTAGCGCAAACATATTTGCCTTATTACGTTCAATAAGTACTATTTGCATTGTACTCTACTCACAACACATTGTTTCTCTTTTTCCGCATAAATACACTAACTAACCAGGGTGTCCAGATTGTTAAAAAAAAAAACACAATTTCTGTAAAAAAAATTGCCAAAAATTGCCCAATTTTTTTAAGTAAAATTCATGTTATGTCGAACAAATCTTTAAGATCTTCTATATCTACACTGAGGGGAAAAAATATTAAAATCAAATAGAAACGTAATTGATCTTACCATAAACGTCAACGAAAGTACTGTATATCGGTAAATATTCAATTCAATTACGCGCATATTAAAATGACCACGTCTGTACTGAAAAAGCATCCGTGAAGTGAATGATCAAGACAAAAACTAAAAAAAAAATTTAATTTGCATGTTGCTTGCAGTGAAATTCGAACCCGACCATCTCGGGATATCAACAACTTGTGGCAAGCATCTTTACGCACTCAGCTACATCCAGCCATATAAATTTGCCTTCACATGTTGAATATCCATCAACACCACAGCACGCGATTTATACAGTTAAACATGTATGTAGTATGTATGAATGTGTGTGTTGTCACGGCTCTCAGAGCGGCGCTCTGCATGCTTGGGGTGCGTATGTACATTTACATATACATACTGAGATGTGAACTGTCAAATACGTGCATACTAAATTTTGTATGAAAATATTATTTTTAAATACGAACATTTTTAAACGATAATCAAATATAAAGTATTAATTTTTACTATGCATTATTTCCCTCAGTGTATAATACGCGAAGTCATTTTTTGTGCAGCATAAAAGATCTGCACCGTTCGCTCAATTTTCAAAAATGGGGTGCCAAATTAAAGCGCTTGGCCTGTAGATGTGCAACAAGGTTTCACTTTTTTGACAAAAGTTGCCACCTTTTAAAAAATTATATTCAAATTATCAAAAAAAAAACAAATATTACAAAATGAGTATCAATGGAAATGGCTTTGAACATCTTTCTTTCTTAGCTTGACTATAAGAGGGTTGCCACCTATTTAAAAAATCAAATTCAATTTGAATTAAGGAAATTAATTAGGAAAAAATATTTTAAAGTTGGTTGCCACCTGCTTTAAGTGTCGAATTTAGTTAACTTTTCCAAAAGTTATATGAAATGTCAAAATATGGAAGTCAAACGAAAGAGTGTTAAGAAGCCTTTAGTTTAAACATTAAGAATATTTTTGAGGTGTTGGAAGAGGGTTGCCACCTGTCTAAAAATTTATTTCAAATTATTAAAAACATCAAGTGAATTATTGAAATATGGGTATCAGTCGAATGGGTTTGAAAAATCTTTATTTCTGAACTATATTTAGCAGGGTTGCCACAGGTTTAAAAAATAAAATTCAACTTAATTCATCAGTTAATTAAAATATGTATCGCAATGTAAGAGGAATAATATTTTAGCGCGAAACTACTTTGTTCAAATATTAAAATTATTTAAAAAGTCAAATGAATTATTAAAATATGTGTGTCAGTCGTAATGGGGTTGAAAGGATTTTATTTCTGAAATATATTTAGGTAGGTTGGCACGTATTTTATAAGCTGCATTCAAATTATTTAATAAGTTAAATGAATTTTTAAAGGATTGATATCAATAGAAATGGGTTTGAAAAAGCTTTCAGGCTTCCGAGTGAATTTAAACAAAATTCGCTTCAAACTCAAATTGAACTTTGTAGAAGTTTACTCAAAAATTTGTAAATTGTATAACCTGAAAAATAAAGACCATGCCCTGTAGATGTACGATAAAGTTTTATTTTTTGAAGTTAGAAACTTTTTATCGGTACAGAGTGATTTAAAATTAAATTAATTTAAATAATATTGAAACCCTACTGTGCGAAACGCCTTAATTAGATTAAAGGTTTTTGAAATTCTATCTTGGGCGTTTTAACGCCATGCGGGTTCACTAGTAGTTTTTATAACAAAAAACTAATATTATACCTTCGGGGTAATAATAAATAGCACAAATCACTTATATAATAGTGATGTACAAACAATTTTCTTTAAAAATACGCGTATTTCAAAAAAGTATTTCCAATAGAACTGCGTAATTAATAAATTTATTATAACTCATATTAATTGATTAATCTCATAAACCGTNGTTTCTTTAAAAATACGCGTATTTCAAAAAAATATTTCCAATAGAACTGCGTAATTAATAAATTTATTATAACTCATATTAATTGATTAATCTCATAAACCGTTTTTAAGCGCTCGGCGCTAAAAATAAGCTGTAATAAGGCGAAATCAGCTATTTCTACAAATGAAATTGTAAGTTTCGCATTCAGCGGGAGTTGTCACAAATTTCGGTTTAATATTGGCAAATGTTCGATGTGCTACACTAAACTCGATAACAATAAAAAGTGTAGCCACATCAAAACTAAAGCTCTAACTCCACAACCTACTTTTCGCGTGTTCCGACGCATTTACATGGTAGCGCACAAAAAATTTATCTGAAGGGAAAAAATTGCCTAAGGCGATTTCCTAAATTTTTACGCGCAAATATGCAAAAAAAAGATGCCCAAATTGGCGCTGAGTCGTCCAATCTGGATACTGCTAAGTACTACGCGTTGAGAAAGCAGAAACTTTCGCAACTTGCTATCAGGGCTGCCAACTATACTTAGCTATGAAGTGCTATATTGAGGCCAAAAAAGTGCCAAAATGTGCTGAATAGAAAAATAAAAGTGCCAAAAAAGGTGGCATTCTTTTTAATTCTTCCCATTTAGCATTGAAATTAGAAACACATTCCTAAAACAAAAGTCCAATGCCAAAGTAAGAAAACCAGTTGTATGCACTAAAGAAATGAGAAAATTTTAGTTGATAAACAGAAGTACACGCAAAGGATTTTACAAAAATGTATTGAAATATTACTCTTTTTCAAAAGTGCCGTTTAGAGTAAATAGGGCCAAAAATGGCACGGTTTGAGCCAAGTTGGCAGCCCTGCTTGCTATTACTCCATCAAAGTAAGTATGTACCAGTGATGGGCACACCTAAATACTTTTGTACTTAAAGTACCACTTTGGGTACTAAATACTCAAATACTTAGTATTTTGAGATCACTAAATACCCAAGTACTATTTACTTAGGTATTTAGGAGCTGCTAAATACCCAAGTACTGTTTACTTAGGTATTTAGGAGCTGCTAAATACCCAAGTACTATTTACTTAGGTATTTAGGAACTGCTAAATACCCAAGTATTATTTACTTAGGTATTTAGGTGGTGCTAAATACTCAAGTAAAAAGTATTTAGGTACTTAGGAGCTATTAGATATTAAAGTAAGAAAAACTTGAGTATTTAGGAGCTGCTAGATACCAAAGTACAAAAAACGAAAGTATTTAGCAGGCGCTAAATACTCTGGTCCAAAGTATTCAGGTACCTTGGGGATGCAAAATACTTTCACTAAAGTACCAAGGTATTT